GCTGCCAGCACAGCTGGAAACTGCGCGTCGCGACGTCGCGGCTGTCACGCGGAAAAATTGACGGGAACCGGATACGGCGAATGGACCCGTTTATACGACCCCCGATTGTATACTCGCGGTGGATGAACACGAATGGCATTCGGGAGAGTCCGTCGTAATTCAACGGACGGAAACGACGTTGTTGCGCGGAAAGCAAATTACGGCGATTACGAGTAAGACCGCGTGACGTGACGACGCCGATGCTTTATCCGGCGCGCTCGCGCGACTTCTCCACGATGGTGGTGTGCGACGCCGAGGCACACCTACGCGGCGGGCTTGCGCCGATTGCGCCCGGAGGAATCAATGATTCGCTCGATGCGAACGGACGTGTTTAGCCGACAGGCGCGAGTAACCTGTTGCTAACGCCGACCTAAACCCGATACTACGATAAATTCTTGTTACGTCGGTAATCAATCATCAATGATAAAACGGGCGCGATAGGACGATAGCGCAATAAATATGCTTTCGTGCTCGTCGATCGAAATTTGATTAAGTGCATTCCGTGGTCTCGCTGTGTTCCGCGCCGACGTTTCGTTACCGCGCGCGCCGACGGAACAATAAGCGGCCCGCTATATCGAAACAAAAGTGGGATAAAGTATGATATGTACATTTAAACCTGTCACACACGCGCGAGTCGCGCGAACGGGCCGATCGATCGGCGGTTACGCGCGGAATAAAGGATCGACGCGCGGACGCGAAGATCGATCGATCGGGAGAGCGAGAGGCGCATACCTGGCGCGCGCAGGGGGGCGGCGCGCTCTCGTGCGACGTGCATAACTGCGGTACGTACGTGAGACGATCGCGCGATTAATCTTCGTGCCGGCGTGAATCGGCGGAAGTGCCACGTCCACGCGAGAGCGAGCGCCGCGCATTTTATATGAAGTTATTTGCATCGACCGCGCGGCCGGCCGCGCGCGGACTACGGCCTATAAATTATCGCCCGCCTATAATACACGCTTCGTGAGCTTTGGGCAACGAACTCCGGCCTGCAAACTTACGGTATTACTCGGCTATAGCGTTCCGAATCATGTGGTACTAGCCGCATTATCAAGATTTCTTATGTAAATTCGGAATGCTCAATTTGAATATTTTCGCGATAAACTTACAAATTTTCTAGATGTAGCTTAATCTTTTAGATTTAAATCTACGCTTTCCTATAGGCGGTACGCGATCTAACTTGGAAATTAATGCAATACCTTACACGAGGGCGCACCGAGATAAAATCTCCACAAATACAGTCCCTAGCTTTTTTCCCGGAAAATGATGGATGGAAAAATGTGGCCGCCAAGACACGTCGGGATAGCTGGCGTGAAATTAAAAGCGTTACATATGTACTCTTCGGCGACCTTCGACCCGCCGTGAAGACAGCGGGCACCTCTTCACGCTTCACGCAGCTTAATGAAGACACATACACGGCGGACGGTGTATCGCGATAACGAAGATCTACGGGCGAAAGTAAGCCGAGACTCTCGCAATGTCTACTTATACTCCCGCGGGACAAACTCGAAAAACAAAGCCGAAAGTGGAGCTACTTCGGCAAAGAAACATCGCGACATGCACGCTATGCGACTCTAAATTATCTCGCCATTATCTCTCGCGTCGTGCGAAATATTTTTTATTACAAATTTAATTTCTAAATATATATATATGTGTGTTTAAGGTTAAAATATTATTTAAAAAATTAATAGACGTATCAAAATAGCGCTTCAATATGTATACCGCAGCATTGCATAATGGCGTAAATTTAACGAGCGAATTAGATGTAGAATATTCCCTGCAATCCGAAACGACTCTCGGCTAACAAGAACGAGCGCAAAAATAAATTTCACGAGAAACTCGCGTCTTCGGACGAGAAAAAAAAAACACGCATCGTGTCGTTCGGTTCCTTTATCGCTCTGTTCGATAGGTTCTGTTAGCTTTGTGGACTCACCATGACGTAGTGGCGCTGCATCTCCGTCTTCTCCTGGGCGAGTTTCTCCAGCTCCAACTTAATACTGGACAGAACAAGCAGGAAAACGCACGTGTAAGCTAAACATTAGTAAGTGCAGGCGACATTCAAAAGCTGTGGGGACAAAATAAAGAGAAGGGAAGACCCTCTCTCACTCTCTCTCTCTCTCTTTCTCTCTCTCTTTCACTTTCGCATTTTACCGAGGGGGAGTCTCGCGTTTCCACTACAATAGGGAATATAACGCAGCTAAATGAGATTATCGAGTCGGCAACGAGCCGAGGGTCGTCTGATTTGGGCTCCCTGACGAATGAGACACGTGATATCGTGTGCAAAACGTGTCGTCATTCGATCGGACGACCACGTAACGAATCGTTGATCTGTCCCGTACGCGTGTTTTTACAACCTTCCGCACCGATTCGTTCCTTCCATCGCGCCTCCTCGAAACGAGGAATATTGCGGAGGGATGGTGCACAGCCAAGCCATTAAAAACACACAATTAGTGCAGCCGCAACAAACATTGATAATAATTGTTATATACTGGCCGTTATGCGTGTATTTATGTATATACGTGTATATGCGTGTTCTGTCTGTGTGAATTTTGTGTTTACCAAAGTGGACCGTGGAGAATATTGGAAGCGTCACGATCGCGAGCAAATAATTCATAAAAACGCGTTCGTTGGATTTACATCGCGTTCAATTGACAAGGCAACATGTGTAATAAATACAAACAATCGCAAACGAGTTAAGTAGTCGCCGTAAATATTGCACCGCACTCTTTTCCGTCGAGCGACAATTAATAATTTTGCGAAAGCGCACGATCGGCGGAAAATACATTCGCGCACTTAAATTGCCTCTCCCGGAAAGAAAGTTAATACGAAATCAATACGAGAATCGACGCGGTAACGCGCAGGTTCATTAAGAGTTAATCCTCGTCGCGCCGCGCGCGCTTTTCCCCGACGCGTTAAAGCGCATATTAATATTCACTTGGTCGACCGCCGTGTTACCCGACGGAGCGACATCAGAGCGGGACAAAGGCCCCCGTCCGCGGTGGCGATAACTTTTTTAACGACGACAAGCCAGCATCGTATTTTTGTTTAGCGCGGTGCTCCGGCGCGGGAAAATAATCTCGCGGTGGCGGCGGCCGACAAAACCGCTTGTACCGCGGCAAATGAATGCGTTCGTATGCCTGTAACGCTCGAGTGCGTCGCCGCACTGCTGCTGCTGCCGTCGCTGCTGCTGTTGCTGCTGCTGCTGCTGCTCCATGACTGTATACCTACGATAACGAGTGTGGGTGCGTCGTCTCTGTGATTGGTGTTTCTCTCCGTGTTCCCCGGGTATTTTCGGTCGCGCGACCGCCAACGGGCTCGGCTCGCGATGATAATTTCCCCGGGTTTTTTCTCCCGTATATAACCGCCCGTAACCCCGGAATTATACCTCCGACGGTACTTTGAAAATCCGCGCTATTTTTCCTTTAATTTCGCTCGTACGTACAATAAAGGTATTACAAAAGGCACACGTGCTGTCGTGCCATTTGGAAAATTCATCTCGGCGAAATCGCATCGGTTTCTGAATAATTTCTCTCTCTCTCTCTCTCTCTCTCTCTCTCTCTCTTTTAGATTCGGATAACACAT